CCTTTCCTTAACTAACTTCTGTATTTCTCTTTGCTGCCTAGACCTACCTGACTTTACCCTCTCACCCCTCTTTCTCTCATGCACCCCAAACCTCTCTGCACCATATGAGTAAATTATATCTCCCATCTTTTCTAACTTTTCTATTGCATTTCCTCTAAGCCTGTTTAAGATTACTGACAAATATCTATTAACTATCTCCCATTCTTTACTGTCATTTGCCCTAGGCCATCTAACTCTAACCTTTTGCTCCATGGTTCTCTCTCTGACTGGCATACTGACCTCAGCGTCACCTGCATCCTCTCTTACCACTCCCTCCTTCTCCTCCTCAGTGGCAGTGTTACTGATATCCTTCTACCTGTCGCTGGACTTCATCTGACTGACTTGACTGACTTCTTAGGAAGTACTGATCAAGGATGAGGGCAGCAGGTGGGCCCCCTATTTAAGGATGGCCTACATTGGAGAAATAAGGCACCTCCTTCCCTCTGCTAGCCTGGGAGTCCGCCTTAGGCAAGCGGTAGCACTCCCTTTGCCTCCTAGTTATGGGCCAGATAGCAACTGGGCAGCTCTGAGTGCTAGTAGGCCTACTGTAGGCTACAGTAACACTGAGTGTTAGCACAGTAACTGCGTAATCACTTTCCCCTCCTTATGATTGTCTTCATTAATAAAATTGGTGCATATATAAATAAAATATTTCAGAAAATTTATAATACAAAAAATGCTTGTCTTAATATGAGTGATCAACTGGGCAAGTTACATGGGGATATCTATTAGTTAAGTTTTCACCCTATTTGTAGTGTTTTGCCTATACGGGTGTAAGTTTGTTTACAGAGTGATAACTATAATTAAGCTACTGGATAGGCAGGGCTATCATAACAAAATATAAACTAGAGACCTGTAGAGAGATAAAAATGCCAAAATTCTTTGGTTCCCGGGGGGGGGTAAGGGTCTACCAATTTGTGAAAATGATCCCTTTAGCCCCTGTACTAATAGGGCCCCATTCTATTTGTCTGTTTGAAGTTCTGGCTCAGGGGTCTGCAACCTTTGCCATTAAAAGAACCATTTTTGACCAAAAATAATTTGAAAAAATCTGTGTGGAGCTGCAAAACATGTTTTAGCCTTATAATCAAGATAACATAGCCTATTATGTCTAAATTAGCTTATACTTATGGTCTAAATAAGCATTTGTTAATATGTTTTACCACAAGGTGGCCACTGTGCAGGGTACTATCTATGATCATTTGGTACTTAAATTTTGCAGAGCTGGCAATGAGAGCAAACAAATCTGTCCACACACTACTACATTCTCTATTTTATTCAATTTACTTTTTTGGATTTGGCATCCATAGCTAACCAGCCACTGCTATCGAGGTTCAGCAACATTTGGATTCATAGAATCAATTTCCATAGAATTATTTTCTCAAAGTCTCAAGGAGCCACAGGATAGGGGCTAAAGAGCCACAGGTTGCCTACCCCTGTTCTGGCTGCACTAGTTACCTGTCAGGGGCTGGTGACATCAGATGGTGAGGTGAATAATCTAATAACCTACTTTTATGATAAGATAACATTCTTTGGCACATATAAATGCAATTTTGGGCTGATTGGCTTATTTACATTAATAATGGCAAACACATGTATACATGCCTTTTGGATTTTTTATTCCTTATTCCATGTCCGCCTATAATTCATGTGTGTTTAGGTGTATACATTTTTTAAAAGGAGCAAGGTACTGTGAAATCTTTGCTGCATTGTGTGCAGCAACTGTCTGTGAACATTCAGTCCAAATTTGGTGACATTCTGATAATTATTTCACGAGATTCATGTGATAAGGCAGACACTATCCCTTTTGGAGAAGTCTATATTTTGACTATTTTCAATTTTGGGGAGGACCCAAAGATCATCCAAAATTTTTTCTTAAGCTACTAGATAGGCAGGTCTATCATACCAAAATGTAAACTAGAGACACAGAGGAAGTCAAAAATACCAAAATTGTTTGGTCCCTTTAAGTGATACCAAAATCTGCTTTGGCCTCTGGACTATAAAGCAAATTTTTTCCGCGAAATTTCGGCACTTGTGGCAGAAGCTTATTGCAAAGATTACAAAGCCACTAAGTAACCTATGTAAACGCTGATAGTGTGATTTTACTGTGGCCACTACCCTGTGCAACCCACATTATTTTCATAATGATATATTTAGGAAAAGATGCTATCAGTTGAACAAACAGCAGTGTGATAAGAACTACGTGTCATGATAAGAACCATCTTTGGGAATCATTTATTTGATGTGTACTTTGAGTTTTTAGTTTGGCCCATGTCTCATCCACTAACATATCGAGAGGGCTTTATCAGCTATACCTCAGCCAGCCACCTGGGGGAGATCCAGATATTTTGCTTTACTTTTGGGGAGCTGTCATGTTGTCCATCTTTATACACAGTCTATAGTCCTGTTCAACGCATCTGTCAAAAACCAGTAACTGTCTAATCCTCACATGGTTGACTGGGTAATTAATTAAATCTGCGGCAATGTGTGATTAGTTTTAAGATGCTTTTAATGATAAAGACTAGGGATGCATTGATTTTTCAGTTCTCAGCCAATACCAATACAGATGTTTAAAATAACAATTTGGCCAATGGCTGATAGCCGATACCAATGTTTTTAGATTGTTGTTTATTTTATTTTGTTTTTATTAACTGTATCTTTTGTGCAAGGGAAACAAAGAAATCTATTCTATAGAAAAATAACTGAACTGTTTTAAAGTAGCCAAATTAAGCCCTTCATTAAACTCCCTGTGAATGAGCACAGATTTAGTCATACACATTTATAAAACAACCTTTAATATACAGTAACTTTCTTTCACATTAGAAACATTGTTTTAAATAACTGCTTCAAAAGCATTTTAACATTTTAACTAAATGTATCATGTATGTATATGTATGCATCTACTCCTACTTCTATTGTATAGCCTTTACTAATTCAATGGCACAGTCGATTTAACTCTGCTGCAATACTGAGTAGAGGGGTGAACAGCATTTCAGCCTGTCTTGTGATAGACTGGTGTTCAATTCCCTGAGTTGGACAGTTGTATTTTATACTTTATATTTCAACAAGAAAGGCAAATGTTATACAGCAGCAACAGCTGTTGTTACTGCAAAACAGAATGCAGAATTAATGTCATAATACTGTGCTGCACAGTGGCGGATTGATTAGAGCACATCTACACATGTTGCAAAGTCAGCGGTTCAAATCCAGCCTCCTGCAGTGCAGTGCATTTTGGTTTTAGGCTTTCAGTTCATTTCATATTTCTATAAATTCAGGAATGCTTTGAAATGTTTTCAGCTGTCAGAATTCACACTGCAATTTCTGCAGGAAATGCATTTTCTAGCTGACTTTCACATACAGTCTACAACACAGAGACTGTGTGCTAGCTGGTCACACAAACACACATAGTTTTGATCTATAATTGCATCTTTTCAGCTGAGTGTGAGGAAACCTGCAGTTCTCTCATTCTCGTTATAATCAAATTGTAATTTCCCCCTCATTCTTTTCTTAAAGGGATAGTGCACCCAAAAATGAAAATTCACCCATTATCTACTTACCCATGTGCCGATGGAGGCTCAGGTGAAGTTTTAGAGTCCTCACAACACTTGCAGAGATCCAAGGGGAGAGGGGGTGGCAACACAACATGTGTGCATGCTTGCGTGAGACTGTGAGACATGGGCACCGTGTTCATGTGTGTTCATGTGCTTTCGCTGGTCTTGCGCGCAAGCGCGCACACGTAAACTCAGTGCACAGAGAGGCAGTTAGAGCTGCAGGCTACAATGAGGCTAAAAACAGAGTTCAAATGACGTTTTTTCCAAACAACTTTTTATGTCGGGGCTTCAGGACGAGCAGTATGGAGATATTTTGTGGTTTCAATTATGTGTTTTTGGACGTTTGAATCTGGGGCGCCGTAAGCCTCCATTAGGTGGAGTTGTGTTGCTACCCCCTCTCCCCTCCGGATCTCTGTCCAATAACTTTTCTTATTTCTTTTTATGCCTCCATGCAGGCAATAGCCATGGCTGGAGGAATTATGTTTTTGGGTTGTCCATCTGTTTGTCCATCCACCCATCCATCCATCCATCCATCCATACCTACATCTGTCCCACTCTTGTAAACGTAATATTTCAAGAAGAACTTGAGGGAATGTCTTCAAATCTTGCACAATTCACTTGGATTCAAGTATGAACTGATAAGATTTTGGTGGTCAGGGGTCAAAGGTCAAGGTCGGTGTGACCTTGCATCCATCTCATTCTCCTGAATGCGATATCTCAAGAACACCTGAAGGGAATTTCTTCAAATTTGACACCAACATCCACTTGGATTGAAGAATAAACTGATTAGATTGGTGGTCAAAGGTCAAGGTCAGTGTGACCTCACAAAACAGGTTTTTGGCCCTAACCGAAAAGTTTTTTGCTAATTATGACAAAACTTTCCACAAATGTCTACCATGATATAATGATGAAGTGATGGTATTTTATATCCAAAAGATCAAAGGTCAGCTTCACTGTGATATCATAATGTTCTGCAAAAACACTTTTGGCCATTATTCAATGTCATATTTCAGGAACAGAAGGGGAGACATTTGGTCAGATACTGAATTGGTGACACACAAATTGGGTGTCCACATTCAAACTGTGCTGATTGTATAGAGCTTCTGTGCTGCCAAGGGGACAAGAGAAACTTGACTGGTGCACAGAGGCATACAACCACAGGGTGGTAATTCTACTGTAGTTTCTTTATTTCATCATCTTGCCCTCACCAGTGCTAAAGAAATAAATAAAGAAAAAATAAATTAAAAAAATCATTCTTTACAGTACAGCAGCATATATATTATATCACATGCTCTCTTCATGAGGATTTTTAATTCAAAGGTTTAGGCATCCAGAAGTAACAAGACACGTATAAATCGACTTATGACTATTGCTGCTTTGGTTTACAGCTTGTTTCTTTTTTGTCTTTTTCAGAAGCTGCACTGATATTGTATGTTGTTTGATTTTCATCATTGTCGTCCTCTCATATATGGCCCTGGGGATAGTGGGTGAGTGAGTCTGTACACACACACGCACACACACACACACAGTGCCCTGAGTGTAGGAAAAACCTCTTTGATCAGATTATAATTATATTTATAATTATAATGTGTGTGTTTGTATGCACTGAAAGAGCAACTATTTCTTTAGTTTTGCAGGAAAAAAGTAGTGCTGTCACCTCCATAAGTGAAAAGTTTTCACAGTTATTAACTGTAATCACTGTAACAGTCCTAACCATGAGGAAATTGGTGATAACTGGGGAGACACTGAAAGCAGGGAAAGACAGCGATAGGGACAGTGTGGAATGGTAGCCCATGCTGCATCTTGTGTGAGGACTCCCAAACTAGCTACTTAAAAGCCTAAAGGAAAGATACCTTCAGTAAAGCCCGAGAAGGAGGGCGGACAAGCTCCTCAACCGCACAGATTTAACGGTGGCAGACATAAGGAATGGAGAAATGACTAACCACCATCAATGCCCAGATGAAAAGGTGCGTTAGAATCAGCGAGTTAAAAATCCATCAATGTCGAATGAAGTGCCAGAGGGGAGCAGAGGCAACACAGTGCACAGGGGCTACCCCTGGTCACACACAGGAAGAGGAGGGCCTGGAATCAACCCACAGTTCTCAGAACCTCTTAGTGTGCCTTCCATTTGCTGCCAGCACCAAGCCGGAGGCAAGACACATCAAGTGGCCAGCATCCAACTCAACTTCTGTTTGAAACAAATTTGATCAAATTGAGGACCAGGGGCCTCATTTATAAAGCTTGCTTATGCATAAAACGGGCCTTGAAAGTGGCATACGCCACTTCCCACACAAAAGTTGTGATTTACAAAAATAAACTTGGCGGGAGAATGTGCACACCTCTAAGCAAACTCTGAGTCATGCATGCGCACATTTTGGAAGACACTGGGAAGTGGCGACACAGACGACGAGGTGGAGAAGTGGAGTCAGATTTTTATTGATGTCTCACACAAATTTAATGTCACGCTTTATCCACCTCAGAACCACAATATCATTGAAATTAAATCCAGCAGCCTTATTTTGCGCTTGGAGTGAGTGATAATTGTTTCATAAAAATGTTGCAAAATCCAACTCAAATCCTGAATTGAAATTCTTTATGAATACGTATTTAATCTGCACTGCCTCTAATGTCTCATTGTCCACTCTGTGAGAGCGTAGGAGGGGGAGAGGATGGCGCAACTGTATGGAATATATTTATTTAGCTAAATATTTCCAGTGCATTTATCATGTCTCGAAATACAGCCATTAAGCACAACCGTCAAACTCATTTCATCAGCCTTACTTAGACATGACAAAACCGGCATGAAGAAACGTGTTCGCCTATTATACTTTCATCTTTGAATTGTATTTCAAATTGCACGTTGTATTTTGGGACAGGGATACCACTGGTTCATGCTGTAATTCAGGCCAGGTGTCTGATCAGACCAATTGCCATAAACATACTGCGGTGACCCTTGTGCGTAATTGCGCAAGATGGCACTGGCACATACTCCTTTTTGCCTCCACCTTTAATAAATGTGATTCTTTATGTCGCACATCAGTGTCAAACATCCTCAAATTTAAAAGCAACACGTTAACTACATGTTGGTAAAGAAGTAGAAATATTTGGTCTACCTTTAGATCAGACCACTTTTTTTTTTTTTGTTCTGTCACTGTCCGTGCAGTCCGACAGACACAGCTGACAGCATCAGCAGCACTGATGTGTTGCCACTTTTTTTTGCTTTCTTTTATTAGTGATCCCGTTGCTGTGGCCACCAAATAAAATCTTTCTTCAGTCCTCCACCTCCCGTTAAAGGGTCTTTAGCTCAGTCTCGGAGAAATTCCGTTTTTTGGTTCGTTTCTCACCCGTCGCCATGACTCACACAACTAGAGAACACTCGCATGCCGGCTTATTTATATGCAGATCGCATTCATGAGGTGGAGGCAAAAAGGAGTATGTGCCAGTGCCATCTTGCGCAATTTATGGTTGAACTAGGGCGTGTAGAGGGCGGAATATGAGGCGGATCTGGGTGCGCACAACTCCAGGAGGTCTGTGATTTATAAAGAGAACATTACGTGCAAGTGTGCGTGCGTACGGTTTTATAAATCAGATTATTTTTTGGCGCACGCCATTTTCAGCTTTTGGGCGCACATCAACTTTTAGTATGAATCCTAAGCACTCTTTTATAAATGAGGCCGTAGATCCTGTAGTTGATGGCAAAGAGAGATAGTGACAAGAAACTGCAGGCTATGCCATCAGTTACAGTCAATCTTGCTTTTGAGAGATTTGGAGAAGAGAAAAAGCAAGAAGCCTAAAGAACCTACATGAAAAAAAAAACAGGCAAGTGAGAATAGATAGATAGATAGCCTTTATTGTCCCATGGAGAAATTTGTTTTCACAATCTGTCACAACATTTGGATACACAAAACACCGCCAACAAACACCATGCACAAACACCACCAAACATTGAACAACATATGAATACACACACAATACACAAACACCACCGACACATATATCACACTCAGGCCCATGACAATGGGCTGGGGGCTCAAGTCCTTGTGACGCCAGGACAAACAAACAGGAGAGCAAGAACCAGATGCTGTAGCCCACCTCACAGCTGTCTTGAGGAAGAAGATCAGCAGCTTGTACTGGGCTGATTAACACTGGAAGAATCGGACCCAAGGAGCTTCTAGGCAAGAAAAGCAGAGGCTGTGAGCTGCTGTGAAGAGGAAATAAACATGTATCTGAGACAGATGTACATTAATGGAAGATAGAACGAAGATCTGGAACCATGCAAAAAACTGTTAGACCCACCTGAGCCAGGCGTCTGGAGAAGAAGCTCAATTTCAGAGCAGTGGAGAGTGGCCAAGAGAGTCTGGATTCCAAAAGAAGAAGACTCTACCAGTTGTGCATATTCTCCCCGTTCAGCACTGAAGCAAAGACCTTCAGCATAATCTCAAACAGACTCAGCTCATACTAGGGCTGACCTTCGAATCCATTTATGGACATTCGAAGCTTCGGAGTTCAGAACGAATTTAATTCGAAGGGGGGATTAAAAATAAATAAATAATTATGGCGAAAATGTAGTTTCTTCCAACACTAGAATTAAGATAAAAATATTCACAACGAAAAAATGCTAATTGTCGGTGATAAGTAGTGTTTAACTTTTGATTGAACACTAAATTAAAACCCTCGATGCATACTGCAGCACAGTCAAACAGATGCGCAACTCAGAGCATCAGAAGTGTCTCTGACACCAGACTCAGAGCGGACCGGTGGAACTGGAAAATGCATATTTTACATCAATAAAATCTATTTTATCATTATTTTGAGTCACATTGTTGAAAGAATTTAGTCGTCTGTGTTCAAGCAGGATAATAGCAGGTCTCCATTATGCGTTGGGCTTTCTATTTCCTTGTCGGAGATTTTTTCTTTTTTAATTACTACTTATGTTTTTCAAGTGATTTCCCACATTTGTTGTTGAGTTGTGATATGCCAATTGCTTTTGGCAAATCTAGCACTCTGCTTTCTGGGGGTTGTTGGGGCATATTTTAAAGTGCAACCACGCATCTGATGACCTCCTGGACATGTCTGCCAGCTCTGAGTGCGCTCGTTGTCAGTATCGGACTGGTGGGGTTTAGTGTTGCGTTTAAGGCCTCCCCCAAAAAAATGAAAAAAAAAAAAAGCGCAGAAGTTTCGAATTTTTTTTTTCACAATCGAATCCCGTGCCATCGAATGAAGCTTCGAAGCTTCAAATTTTTTGGGTCAGCCCTAGCTCATACCTGGCAGGCAACAAAGTACATTGACAACTCAGTCATAAATGGAGGAATTATGGGAATGTTTAGGAGGCAAGTATACACTGGAGTGGTGAAATACCTAATCAGAGAGACCACGTAGAACAAGGGCAATCTGACAGTGCTGTGGCTCGATCTGGCCAACTCCTGTGGCTCTCTCTATTACAAGCTGGAGCAACACAGTTTGCTGAAACATCATGCACAAAGCAGACCCAGAGCCCTAATAAGTGACCATAATAACAACTTCAATATGTGGGTCTTAACTGGTGGCATAATGTATGGCTGGCCAAAAGTCAAGTGAGGATGATAACAAGGTATACCATTTCAGTCACCCTGTTTTTTAAGGGCTATGTACATGCTTATACAGTGAGCAGAGGTAGAGTGCAGAAGGCTCAAAATGAGATCTGACCTGCGTTAGCCTCCCATACAGGCTTACAGGGATGAGCCCATGATACACCAAGTCCCTTTTTCTAGCTGGGTGTGGCTACACAAGCCCAAACTCCCTCTCCTTGTCAAGTGCTGATGCATCCTTAGCAAGTGAGCTAAACAATTTCTATTCTCGCTTTAAGGCCATCGGTAGTCAACAAGCAAAAACAGCTGAAGCAGAGATTAATGGATGGGTGGGTGCACTTCTAACACCTGTCTCCCTTCTGAGCATGATGTGAAGAGGGCTTTCAAGCATGTGAGCACAAGGAAAGCAGAAGGACCAGCCAGTATCAGTGGGCAGGTCCTCAAGCCGTGGCTGAACCACTAGTGCTGGTGTTTACAATGATATTCAACAGGTCACTGGCTCAGTCTGTCATACATACATTCTTCAAGAAGCCCATTATGTAGTCCACTCTGCCCAGAATTTCACATACTGGATATGAATCCAGGCCTAAATAGATGTTCATGCCCATATTGACTAAGAGTTATATAGCACAACCTACTGACAACAGGAAGTAGTCCTTATGTGACAAAAATCCTCAGATTTACAATTAATTTACATGGTGTGTAGACATGATATACAGCAACATGACATATAATTAATGTGTGTTAGCAGACACAGGAAATTGATGAAAAATAAAAGATTGTAAATTGTGTACAAACTAACACCCCTGACTTGTTTACCCACTTTTTCACACATACAGACACACAAATATACATATATATCTTCCATAGTGACTGAATGTCTCAGTCCCTCTCTGTTGTGTCTTGCAAAGACAGTGTTAAATGATCTGTCTTGTCTGTCCATCCATCTGTCTGCCAGCCTGGTTACATGGAGATCCCAAGAAGGTGCTCCATCCAACAGACAGTTATGGCCAGTTCTGTGGTCAGAAGGGGACTTCTAATGGGTATGTCACTGCTATTACACTCTACTAAGCTGTTGGCGGCTGTGGCTTAGAGGTAGGGTTGGTTGGCCACTAATCAGAAGATCAGAGGTTCAAACCCCAGTTCCATAGGTGTGTGAATGTGTTAAAAACTGACTAGCAGGTAGCACATTGTATGGTAGCCTCAGCCACCGGTGTGTGAATGGAAAAATATAACTCATAGTGTAAAAAGCACTTTGAGTGGTCAGATTATTAGAAAGGCACTATTTAAGTGCCAGTACATTTACTCACCAGATCTCTTTACACCCTACAGTTTCCCATATTACACATTTCTGCAAACCTGTCCACCACAAATTTATATAATTTCAGTTTCTGTGTTATATACATTGTATTTTATCTCCATATTTTAACTTGCACAATTTTTTTTCTGTTTTTACTTTATAGTACTTGATAGATTTACTTGATAGATGATAGTACCATACTGTACATACCATATGAACATTGTTGAGGGGAGTCTTAGATCCAAGATTTTCATTGCCAACAACTGCTACTCTGTAATTCTTGTGTATATTAGAGTGTGGATTCCCAACCCGGGTTTGACAGGTTCAGACAAATATTTACAAATAACGGGCTTCATGCAAAAAGTGATGTTTGAACTAATTTTCTCCTATCCACATAGTACCCATTGATTTTTGGGAATAATTTTTTTTTTTTTTTTTTTTTTTTTTTTTTAATTTTGTTTTATTTTTGCTCATCACAGGTGACAGAAAAGTGTTAGACTGGTCAAGAGCACCTTTTGAATACTTGTTAACCCAAAGCATTATCTTTTTTCTAAACCTAACCAAGTAGTTGCCTAAACCTAACTGTGACTGTCTTACAAAATTAACCATAATACAACATGTTACAATGTCTTTAAGCTGTGCATTACTTTGAGACAATGATGTTAAAGGGTGCCCTGTATGTTACTATGACATGTTGAGGGACAAAGCGTTGGCATTTGACAACCTGGGAATAGGAACAGGTTGTATCAAGCCACAGCCTTGTCAGGGTGCTCGTACTTGGAGCTGAGGTAGGGGGGATTAGGAGAGTAGCCAGCATGTCCTTATATGGCAGTGTTCATCAACTGGTGGCCTGCAGGCCAAGCCCAGCCAGCAGAATTATAATTTATTAACCCTCTGGTGGATGCGTCCAAATCACATGACCGATTTAAGATGACGTAGCAGCAAGACACAGTCTCCATTTCAACTTGTGTCCAAAGTAGTGATGTCATGAGAACCGATACTCGCGATACCTTTCGATTCCATGATGAAAAAAACCTGTCGATACTCATTTTTTGAAAAACCGGAAGAACCGACACCAGCGTAAGAATCGGTGCTATGGCTCTTCCGGAACTGATGGGGGCGGTTTACACCATATAGCGTTACAGTCCCTGCCTACATTCAGAGCGTGGGGGTGACGAGGAAGAGGAGAGAGCGGCGGCCTGCTAAAGCCCACATTCAGAACCAGTCACGGCTGCACTTCAGGCCAGAAAATAGATCTGCTAGCAATATATCCAGTTTTAAACCCCACTTTGTCCGTTTGTTAATTGCTTTTAACTCATTCCTAATTGCTTCTGAACTGCCCGTGCTCCGTGCAGAGCTTTGTCCAGTGGTCTCCTATGAGCCCTGCCTTCGAGACGTGCAATGTCATTCAGTTCATCAAAATATATCCCAATTAAAATCAGTAGCATAATAAGCAGATAGGTTCCATATTATTTTGTTTAATTTCAACAACACAGAGATCTTAAACCTTTAAAAACTCTGACGCGTTTTGGCATACAAGCCTTCGTCAGGGACTGACGATGGGATTCATTCTTGCGGCCAAAGTCAATAACAACTTCCTTTGTTTTGGAAGCATTTAAGATTAGATTGTTGTTCTCACTCCACTTGACTAAATTTTTTACCTCAGACCTGTAGTGTGACTCGTCAATTGAGTTTATCAGGACAATGACGGTTGTATCATCAGCATACTTTACGATCAGATTGTTATGGTGAGAGGCAGTACAGTCGTACGTACAGAGAGAGAACAGCAGAGGGCTGAGAATACGGCCCTGTGGTGAGCCGGTGCTTAAAACAAGTTCATCAGATACACAGTCACCGATTCTGACTCTTTGAGGTCTCGAGATTAAAAAGCTAAAAATCCATTCACATACAGCATCACACAAACCAAGACACTGGAGTTTATGAATGAGATTTGAAGGAATAATACTGTTAAAAGCAGAACAATAGTCAATAAAAAGCATTCTGACATAGGTGTTTCCCTTATCCAAGTGTGCATAGACAGAGTTCAAAGCAAAAGAAATGGCATCCTCCACAGACATATTTTTCCTATAAGCGAACTGCAGAGGATCAACAGAAACAGGAATCTGACATTTAATATAATCCAGTACTAGCCGCTCCAGGCATTTCATTAACACAGAAGTAAGAGCGATGGGCCTGTAATCGTTAAGACAGGACACAGGTGACTTTTAGGTACTGGAATTATGATAGATTCCTTGAAGCTACGTGGAACAAGGCGGAGCTCCAGTGACATATTGAACAAGTCCGTGAGCACAGGGGAAAGCTGTTCAGAACATAACCTAGCAACCCGAGGAGGGATGCCGTCTGGACCTGCGGCTTTCCTCATCCTAGTTTTGGACAGAACCTTGTGAACCTCATCTACTGACACAGTGAAACTGGCCTGGTCACTAAGATTAGAAGGGATAAAAACAGGAGACTCAGTGATCATGACATCAAATCTGGAGTAGAAATGATTAAGTTCATTTGGAAGTGCAGGGTCAGGAGCTGCAGTGGCGTGGCCTCTGGGTTTATAAGAGGTAACAGTGTTCAAACCCTGCCACATGCGTCGGGGGTCATTCTCCCTGAAATGACCCTCAATTCGCTCTCCATAGGCACGCTTAGCAGCTTTTATAGACCGCTCCAGTGAATATTTGGCCAGCTTGTAGCTGGTAGCATCTCCAGATTTAAAAGCCGTGGCACGTTCCTTTAATTTGAGTCTGACATCAGAATTAAGCCAGGGTTTCTGGCTGGAATACTGTTTCACCACCTTACGTGGGACACACATATCGATACAGAAGTTGATATATCCAGTAACAGCATTGCAGTATTGATCCAGATCCTCTGATTTAAAAACAGTCCAATCTGTAGCATCAAAACATCTCTGAAGCTGTGTTTCAGCATCTTTGGACCAGCACTGTACAGAGTGAACAGTAGGTTTAATTAATCTGTTCCTCTGCACATAAGTGGGCAGAAGGAGAATGGACAGGTGATCAGATTTACCAAAAGATGGTCTTAAAAAGGACCGATAAGCAGACTTTATATTGCTGTATAAATGGTCCAAAGTCTTATCACCTCTAGTGTGATGTTTTACATGCTGGTGGTAGTTTGGTGATGATTAAAATCACCAGCTGCAAGAATCACAGCATTCGGGTGGGAGTTTTCATATTTATGAATTATGTCAGCCAGTTCATTTAGGGCAGAGGAGGCATCAGCACGAGGATAAATATACACGGCTAACATAAAAACAGCTGAAAACTTTTGAGGGAGATAAAAAGGGCGACATTTAATAACAAGACATTCAAGATTGGCCGTGCAAGTTTTGTCCATAACAACAGTGTCTGTGCACCAGTTCTCGTTAATAAGAAAACACACACCTCCTCCTTTACTTTTATCGGTGCTCTCTCTCAGTCGGTCGGAGTGAAACATGGAGAACCCCTGTGGTTGAGTAGCTCAGTTCGGTACATTGCTATCAAGCCACGTCTCCGTCAGGCAAAACACGGAGCAGTCCCTGACCTCACGCTGGGACTGAATACGCCTCAGCAGGGGGGGCAATTGTTGTGATGATGGCTGAGGTGACCCGTTCAATGGGTAAATTTGAATTAATTTGGCTCTACAATGACTGAACAATCCACTGTGGTCATCAACAACGTTAAAGGGGTTTTTCCCCATTAAAGGGGTTTTTCTGGGGAGTTTTTCCTTATCCGCTGCGAGGGTCATAAGCACAGAGGGATGTCGTATGCTGTAAAGCCCTGTGAGGCAAATTGTGATTTGTGATATTGGGCTTTATAAATAAAATTGATTGACTGATTGATTGATTGATCAACAGACTAATTTTCATCAGTGTGCCTACACAAATACCTTTGAATGTGAACAGAGACCTGTTTTACTATTGATCAAATAAAATTGAGTAAGGTATTCACTGAGTCATTTATTATAGCTAAGTGGAAATTCATTTTGTGTTCTGATTAAAGAAATAAATGCAGGCATACCCTACAACTTAATACAATGCACATCACATAGTATCACTGCTCTTTGACCTGACCTGAACATTTTTTTGTTGTTGTTTTTCAGTTTCAGTTATATATTGGGGGGGCATTTTGGGCATTGGGGGGGGGGCATGTCCCCCTCAATGTATATGGTGACTACTGCCCTGTCATGCATGCATAATTAGGCTACAGTTGTCTGGGTGCGCAAAGGTGAAGTGCGCTGGTCTTGTCATACAAAGTTTGATGGAGTATCAACTGGACAATATGGAGATATTTGCATCTTGAAAGCTGGACTACAAATGTGGATAGACAGGGAGAAACACACGCAAGACGTGACTGATAACAAAATCTGTATAATGGATTGGAAAGAAATTCGCCAGGTTTTTATTTTGTAGACAATTTATCTGTATGTATAGCGTGATGGGATGACAGCACAATGATGTGTGTGGTATCACTGGAAAGCTGGTCCTGCGCTTTCATGTGGCATGTGTGGCATTTCTGTGCGACCCTGCATTAGCGAGTAATCCAACAGTAATGTGTGTGCAAAGCTGTATGAAAGGTCTCCCGGAACCCATAGAAATTGCAAAGAGACAGAGGGCAACGCGTCATAGTCTGAAAGCCACGCCCCCAAAAGGGGAAACGAGGCCCGCCTTCAAGTCTCCATGACTGAATTGCTAGCTAGCTAAAATTATTAGCTATAGCTAGCTAATAATTAGCTAAT